TGGCCTTTGGGCTTGCATGTTTTTTTTGGGGGAGATAAGGTTTAGGGTTCAGGGATCTGACTTTTTGGCCTTGCATGATGTTTGTTTCGGGATGAGGTTTGCGCCTTAGGATTATGAGTAGATGGGTTTTGGGCTTGCATGGGTTCTGTTTTGGGAAGACGTTTCGGGATAAGGTTTGGAGCCTAGGGTCTTGCCTACCCAGGGAACTTCTTGGGATATAGAGTTAAGGTTTAGGCGGCGTAGCGTTTTTGAAATGAAGAAGTCGGTTACGTGCCCAATGTAGTGACGCTTGTCAAACGACTTTCCAGAAAACGAAGCTGGCTTGGGGTGAAGGGTGGCGGGTTGAGGGTAGACCCTGACCTTAAGGAAGACGAACCTAGAACAAGCCCTACGCTAGAGATTCCCGGTCTCTAGCAAGAGACCTTTACTAGGTCCTCGTCACAAGCAACATCGCTGATTCTTGGAAAGCGATCACACATACCCAAAACAAGTGGTTTTACGCTCCCCTTTTCTGGCTTCTGTGCCCATGCGAACATGTCAAAAAAGCTTGAAATCACTGCGCTGGCCACACATTCTGAAGGACTCCATTTACACCACCTGCAAAAACATGCAGCGTCAAATAAAGGACCTGGGCCTACTACTACTACTACTACTACTACTACTACTACTACTACAAATGCAAAACAAATACAAGCACTGACACAAACACAAACAGAAATACAATACAACTACAACTACAACTACTACAACTACTACTAGTACTAGTACTCCTCCTCCTCCTGCTGCTGCTGCTGTTGCCTCGACGACGACGACTACTTCTACTACTACGACGACGAGTACAGCCAACGGCTAATACCACCACTACCGGTACTTCTGGCACAGTAGTCGCAGGATAAGTACCTACTTAGTTTCACTAATCGACGTTGAAAGTCTGTGACACAAGCTGAGAAAAAGGATTTGTCTCCGGAATGAGAGATGGTGGATAGCACTCAAGCACGATATGGTTGTAAGATTGATCGTGCTCTTATTCACGATGCTCGAGCGAGATCGAGAATTTCTGCCAGTGCTAAACATGAGTGAGATAAGGGCAGTGCCCAGAACTAATGTCTTAGGCCAATGAAACAAATCAAATCAAAGCCGTGGTTCTGAGCGCTCCCGTGTCAGTGGCGTGGAGCGAGGTCCAGCCCTTTCCAGATGGTCCCGGTGACTATGTCCTCATATTCATTGCAGGCCCGCTTAGCACTCGCATGCGGAAGCTCGATTCTCGCGTGACGAAATAACTTTTCTGTCAGTTGCCGTGCTGGAGACTCAGAAGCTCGCAGCAATGCACCGGCCTGCCGAGCAGTCTCCGATACACAGAGATTCAAAGTCACAGGAAGCCGTGCGAGTAGGACTGGTGGTGAATTTCGGAAGTCATTTGTCTGACAGCTCGTTCCAAGGTGTGCAGTGACAGTTTTTGTGGTCGTTGATGACAATGTCACGGAGCTGAAGCTAGAGTCAAGTGTTCAGCCAAAAGAGACGAAGGACGTCGTTGAAGGCAACAAATGGTTCCCATGATTTTCCATCGTGCCTGCTGTGTTCCGGATTGTACAGTGTGCAACATGGCGCACCTACATAGAGGTGCGCAATTTTCGACTTCAGCACCATGCTAAAAGTCAAGGACGAAGTCCTCGGCAGAAGGCAGGAAACCAACATCCAGCGACATTTGTCCAAAGCTTACCCAGATTCCTGCCTTCGCATGAGCTCTGTGAATCTTCTGGTCCGGAGGGTCTTAGTACATCTCCGGAGAAACACGAAGATGCCAGCTAATGAAAAGCTACCTGCAGGCTCCGCGTCTCTGAATGCCATGCTTGCATGGGGAAGGTTACAAATCACAAGCACGTCTCGCAGGAGCAGCAACCACCCTCTCGCTGTTTTCGCTGTGGAGGAGGCATGGGGTGCCTCTGGTTGGTTTGTGAAGGCAATACCACGGTCATGTCCCTCCAAGGAACTGGACTGAGGTCTGAGTGCAGTCATTGGACTTCATGCACAAGAGTTGCACTCGGCTGGAGAAAGCGCTCTACATAGTTTCGCACCCACAGTTTCGGACTTGCGGAAAACTTGGGGCGGTTCTGCCTCTCCATGTAGACTTTTGCCATGAGACCTTTAGCCCTGGGGGGTCTGAATTGCATGACATTCTGCATGCGGAATCTGGAGCATCAGCAGATTGTGCGGTTGATATTGCCCTTCGGCTCGGATCACCGCATGGCTCTCGAAGTTCTGAGTCGCCGGACCTTCGGGAGATCCGTCCACGTTGCAGAGCGAAGGCAAGTGCATGCAAGGAGCTGCAAACACTAGATGGATGATGCTTTAGATGAGCAGACATGCTGCCTGAACGGTGTGAGCTCTTTCCATTTGGACACGGAATTCGTCGACCAAATCCTTGAAGTGGGTTGTGCCCGTACAGATAACTTCTACACCATCGAACCCGTTGTCATCCGCCAACGCGGCAGCAACGTGGTATGTCCACGGACTCAGAAGTTGGGGTCGTCATATGTGGATGCACTTTCCGGACCAGAGCATGTGGGAAACTCCGACTACATGCTGAGCTACTCCTGGTGCTACCGGGTGGGAGATGTAGTTTCAGCTTTGTCACACCATTGCCAGAAGGAGAATCACGACCCGAAGAGTGCCTAGGCTGAATCAGAAGGACTTGTCTGTATCCCAATGCAACGGTTAACGGTTGTGCCAACGGCTTGCCAACTTCGCGTGCAAACATGAAAGGCAGAGAGAAAACAGGGGCGAGGAGATGCAACAATCAATCTGCTAGGGCCGCTCGGGACAGGGCACGCTGCTACTGGTAGACTAACCAGGCAGTACCGCACTGCACAAAGCAGGCACTTGGCCTATCCGGCGCGGCATGTACTTTCGTATGAAACAGGACGGCAAACGCATCAAGAAGTGCGGGCGGGGCGATCCTTTGTGTTGGCTTACTTTCTTGGGAGGTGTACGACAGCCCGATACTGATGTTTGTCACAAGTCTAATGTGGTGCCGGCATGGTAAAGGCCACATGCTGTCCAGCGGGTCTTCATCGAATGTTGTAAAAGTTTATTTAGCAATCTACAAGCACTAGAGGCACCTACTTCTGGATTTGCTGCCTTTGCATCAACCAGCATCGCGTGATCGAGGCAAAGGAGAAGCTCGCTGTTGAGCGAAAGTGAGCGGACCCTTGCATGCTTTGCATGGAGGTACGAGAACGGGGAGATGAAGTTCCTTTTGAGGAGTTTCGCGCGGCGTTCCGCAGCCGAGTGCGTGGAATTGGCAAGGTGTTGGCCTTGATGGCTCCTTGGGACAGGCCCGTGCTTCGACTGCAGAGGAACACCTTTCCATCGGATCATGCTCCTCCGACTGCCCTACTACAGCTTTACTGCAACAGTACTGAGGACAAGCGGTCACACAGCGCAACTTCTGCAGTCCGGTAGCTAGTAATTCACTTATCCGTCTTCGTGCCACCACATGACGAGTGGGAGGTCGCTTCCCATCTCGCTTTGAGGAAAGGCTTCCATCATGTTCCATCAAGCAGCCGGCGAATTCAAAAATGTATCCAGCTCCACCAAAAATCACACCATCAGCAGCAACAGCAAGAGTGCCTTCTGCTGGGAAAGGAAAGGTTCTCTGTGCTGATGTTGTTTTCAACCCACATCAACCAAAAAGGTGTACGTCACGAGGGCATGGTGCGTGTTTGAGCTGTTCACGGCGATCAGCGACGAATCGTGTAGACTGACTGTGGTGATGCCGCCCGACGAAGTCGTGAACTTTTGCGGAAGCATCGCCAACGCTGGTGCTCTCACAAGCTTCTTGGCCGGCTTCTTGGGATTAGCAGTGGCCAAGACTAAAAATTGCTATTTTGATTTTGCTTCCGTTATTTTACACATTCCTGAGGCTACTTGTGGTCTGCTTTGGAGCAGCTTGATCTGGAGACCGCGCAGGCATCTGTGGCCAGCGACAAGGACATGATACTGCAAATAGTCCGAGATGGCGTGGGTTTGGAGAGTCTCAACCAAGCCAGAGACCAAGATGCCAAGGAGACACCTGTGCTTTCGTGACAGTTCGCAGGCACTGGCAAGAGCTAATAGTTAGGACTATGCAGTCACTCAGTTTTCGCTGCTGGAAGCACAGTTTCCGATGTTGCTCAATCACGAATGTTGAATGTGCATCAAAAACTGTGTGGTTGAGGTCGTTCGGCAGAGATTGCTATCTTGGTTGGCCGAAGCTGCATATGCGGAGTGCTGCGACCAACTGGCCAAGGGTGTATTACGTGGAGATTCGGCAGCGATCGCCGTTTCAGAGATGCCTGGCCATGTTTGTTCTTTTGCTCAGAGCACTACCCGGGCCTAGTAGGTATATACTTAGCTATCTACTCATATTCCTATTCCTTCCTTCCTTCCTTCCTTCCTTCCTTCCTTCCTTCCTTCCTTCCGTCCTTCCGTCCTTCCGTCCTTCCGTCCTTCCGTCCTTCCGTCCTTCCGTCCTTCCGTCCTTCCGTCCTTCCGTCCTTCC